GTTTGTTTTCCTGGAGTTATTTTGGTCAAAACAAATGTATATCCCTCCTCATTTCAACAGATTAAACCCAGTTATTGTGAATTACATGAAACCATTTTAATATTATTATCTGTATTTCAGGCAAAAAGCATAACAATTCATACTTTAAAGATTCACTTTAAGTAAAAATCATCTAATTTGGGGAAACTTTTTGTTACCGTGCACATGCCTATGAACTTCTGTAGGAATGTGTATGTGTATTTTTACTGTACACTGTACGCCACAAATCAGATAAAAATAAATTCTCATTTTATCAAATTTTTAGTTTCTTCAATATATGAATATATGAAAATAGTAATACATATCACTAAATGAGATTTTAAAACAATAAAAAGGATTTCTGTGGGTCTATGTCCTTTTCTAATTGGTTAGTATGTGTATCGTTCCTTTCTCTGAATGGCTGAATAGTTATTCCCAATGCCCATTTGTTACATACAATATTTTTAATTTTATTAAAGAAATATACCTGTTTAAAACAACTGCAGTGTATCTTCGTTCCACAAAAATAATTCCACATAAAATATTAGTAAAGGGAGAAGGAAAGTTAGTTTCTGTCTTCTCTTTCTCTTCTATTTCTTCATCCTCATCATCATCCTCAGAATCACTCCAAGATACATAGTTATCCTGATTCCTATTATTATACCATTCAACACTTTCAAACTGTTGCCGTTCATAGGGTTTATATTTGCGCAAGATTTCAAGCAGTTTTATTACTTTTGGGGTTACAAATTTCAGGTCAAGTGAGGAAGGCGAGAAGTGCTCTTCACAGAGTGCATGAATTTTCCTTAGGAAAGTATCTGTAAACAATACAAATTTCCTGTGCAGCTCCTCTTGCTCATGCTTAATGTACTTCTGTAGCTCTCTCACCATCATCCCAGCTACTTTATCTGCACACCACGGTCCCAGAACAAGCAACACTGCCCGACAGTCTGACAGTATCTGCAACCAAAGAAAAATTTATCAGTTCAGTGTAGCACACATGTGCATGCGTGTATATTCTATTATTAGTTTAGCCTGTAATTAATTTCACAGGAATTCAAAAGGATGAGATCAATAATGAATATGCCTACGTATTCATTTCCTATGAGGTTCAAATTGAGTAAATTATCATTAATATAAATCACAATGTGTTTCACATCAGACTTAGAACTTCATTTTTTTCAACCTGGTGTAGATACCAGAATAAACTATGAATATGCAAACAAAGAAATTAGGGAAAATAAATCACAGTACTGTGGTAGTGATTGGATCTGGAATGTATGAATACAAATCTGATTCATGGATAATCAGTTCTTTCTTTAAATTAACTTCTTTTGTCCTCTGCAGGTTTAAGAGAACTCAGTTGTTACAGCTCATTTATGTAATTACATCCTCTAAAATTAATCTTTAAACTAGCCCAAAAAGGAACAGGTTACACCACATCTATTAAAAAAAAGAGAGAGAGTCCCAAATGGTTCTTTACTTTATCACCAAAATTACACATTTTATGTTATTGTTTCTTGGCCATTCCTAATAAAATGTTAGGAGTGAAACTTGCCTCTAGTCAATCTTAAATACAATTCTTATACATTTTTAAATGATCAGGTTTGATCCTTAGAACTTACTGAGAGTTTACATTAATTTCCCAAACTGATTAGCTATTAATACAAAATTGATGGTGAATAAATGAAGAAACTTAAAACATTTCTGTATAAAAGTGAAAATTTCTATGAAATTACATGACCTAAAATATGTAAAGCACTTAAATAATATAACAATGATACAAAAACCGTGGTCTCTACCTGCTTAGAAATTAAGGTAGAATCTCTCTCTCTATAATGTACAGATATGTTGCAATCATTCAGAAAGCCAAGTGCGTCATCCAGCTCTGTTAACAGTCTTTCATAGAGCCCACTTTTGTCAGAATATGGTCCACAATCCACCACAATCTCACATGGCTGAGAAGTATATCTTTAGCATGAAAAAACAAGAGGTTTTGCTCATAACTGCTGAGAATTGATAAATACAAGACATTAATAATTAAGAAACAGCATGGTATTTAAAAACTATATGGGATTATGAAGACACAATATTCAAATTGACATTATCAAAATGGATTTAAAACTCCAAAATTAAAAAAAAATAAACTAAACCAAAATGGTGACATTCCAAATATGCAGATTCAGTTCATCCTTTCCACATAAATGTTCCTGAATGAGATTCAACATTCATTCAAATATATGACAATATACCTGTCCAAAACCACTAAATCAGTTGCTGTTTCAGCACTGCTCTTTAAAATTTTCTCCAGTTTCTGAATCTTCTCTTCTAACTCTGCTGGATCACATTTTCCATTTAAAATGGAAGCGGTTAATCCCAAGATTCGAGGACAGGATGGACAACTTTCACAAAGCTGAAAATAAATCAGAAGAAAATTCAAGGGTACATTCAAATACATGTAACAGGCAAGAAGGAATCCAATGACAAATTCTGAAATTCTGCATCTCTTCTTTCAGTATGGAAAATAATTTCAGAGGAATGAGAGAAAGAGAAGAAATTGATTTACCGTATATACATAGACCTAGGTTTGATTTTTAATACGGTGCTGATATTAAAACACAGTAACTCTGGTAATACACAATCAGTCTGAAGTTAGAATTTTGCAATGATTTTGAATCCATTCCACAGGACAGATCAGCCCACCCCAGCCTAATTCTTATTGTGCTGGAGTTTTAAAGTCCTACAGATTGATTCAGATTTACAAATTCTGCAGTGACTTGGTTACCTAAATAAATTCCCCACAGCTTTTTATTTAACATTTGGCAATGAGAGGTCATATTCTCCAAATCTCCAAATGGATAATTTTAATAAAGTTTGCAAACACCAGTTACTGAGTATAAGTAACAAAATAGACCTCCTTGACAAAGGAATATGTTTATGCCAGGCTCCTTTCCACCTTATATTACCCCCAAAAACCTAGAGCAAAGAGTACTTCCAAGCATTTTTGCTTTCTGCTCTGTGAATTAATGCAAAAATAACTTTGCACACT